CTTGCCCCTGTCTTTTCTTTTTTTCATAAAAAAAACTCCGAGTTGTTTGGATTCAAGTTTATATTCACTCAATAGTAATGGAAGCAAGTTTATATAAAGGATTATTCGCAGCAATGGTCCCTCAATTATACCCCAAGTTACACTTTGGTCACTCAACTCAAATATTAGTTGCAGAGGTCACTCAATTAGGTGTTTTGTTGCACCGTTAGTACACCTTGCCACGTCATTATTTAAACAGAAAAAATAACAGACTTGACGGTATGACTAACGGTGCAACAAAACACCTAATTGAGTGACCTCTGCAACTAATATTTGAGTTGAGTGACCAAAGTGTAACTTGGGGTATAATTGAGGGACCATTGCTGCGAATAATCCATAAAACTGTTATAAATATTATTGTCCTCTTCCACCCATCAAAAAAATTGGTGAAGGGAAAGGAAATAGGTCTACCTAGCCCAGTACCAAAGTGGAACCAAAGCCTGGACATATATAGATGAGAGAGAGAGAGAGAGAGAGAGAGGGTGGTTGGAAACTGAAGTACATTTCTGGTTACCGACAGAACAATATGGAGAAGCCTGAGTGTGGAGCTGCCCAATAACCTTAATTCATGAACCATATGCGACGGTCAAACATTGAAGAGAAGTGAATTCACACATAATGGGCGCCATTCAAATGCATTGTAACCATGATCACATGCTCCCACTTATCTCCTTTAATTCATATTAGAGGGCAGACCTAGCTACTTCAAAGCTTCATGGAAATGTGTATCCATTTTATGAGAAATGAAACCACTCATTATATGTTTTATTTTATTTTGTCATGTTTTCGATATGGCTCTTTACATTCTTTAACATATATATGATATGCGAATTTTTCTCAATAAAAATTATTTGAACATTGAAAAAAAAAAACATTACTCGCATCGTAATCTATTGAAAAATGTCGTGTAAAGTTTGTGAGAGAGTAGAGGAAGAGCATAGGATGAAAACCTTGTGTCAAATTTAAGGTGAATAGGTAATTAGGTATATTGTACTTGTTGACAGTCATAGCTCTTGGCAAAGGGGAAATAGTAGTTAATTCATTGCCTTTGGAGCTCCTGAAATTTTAAATAAATTTAAAACCAAACCAGCCATATCAACCTTCATTAATTATATATCTATGGATATTAATAGTGCTAATCTGTGTCAAGACATGAGTCAAAGAAAGCAACAGTTTGAAGCTTCAGTAGCTAGCTAGCTATATCATCTACTACTGGCATTCAGCTCATGGCTCATGAATGCAAGAATTTAAAGTTTTTCTTAGTACATTGAATGAAAAAGCCATTTTAGCTCAAAGTGATTAACAATTTTGTCAACAGTTTTAGCTGATCAACAATGTTGATTCTAAGAATCACTACTAGAATATCATTCACTACATACTGATAGATAGATACAAATGCATAAGGGTGGCTTTTGAAAGTTTTAAGCAAACTGATAACTCAACAGTCCTTGTTAAAAATAAGTGGGATAGACATCAGTATCCAATACAATTAAAATGAATTCACACTTTTGCTTAATATGGTTTTGCTTCAATTGAGTCTCTTATCAGTCCTAATTGGAGAAAGCCGGCTACCACCAGTGAGGCTCCATTTAGAAAGCTGCTTTTTGCAGCTCAAGCAGGATTAAGTTGGCTACTTTTTATCCTTTTTGCTTCTTACTTTTCCAACTAATAGAAACTGATAATTTTAAATTGAATCTAAAAGAAAAGAAGATATTTTTAAATGCTTTTTACAAATATAGGAAGATATATATACATTACAGATAATTTACTTTTTAAAAATATTTTAAAATGCTGGAATTTGACATTTCCCGCTAAAATGCCATAAGTTTGCTCCTCCACTGTGGAGAACATCAAAAAAATTAATTTAAAAAAAACTATGAATTTGAAATGAGATGGATGCAGTCTCCTAGGCCACTTTCTCTTTTCTTTATCTATTCCCGAAGTGTCATCCATCTTCTTCTCATCTTTAGTATTCATCTTCTTCTTCTTCTCTCTCTCTTCTTCTCTGCAACTAAAAACTGAGAGAGAGAGAGAGAGAGAGAGAGAGAGAGAGAGAGAGAGGCACAAGTTAACAATGGTGCTTCCTTGATATCACTGTGGAGCACGACCACACCTCGAAAACCCCAAAACGGACGCCTACATCATCCACATGGTAGGATCTGGAATTAGATTTGGATTTACTCTGTTTGTAGATAAATCTTTTCACTTTGTTTTTTTTATTTCACTAACAAGGACTGTTGAGTTATCAGTTTGCTTAAAAATAAGTGGGGGTGGTTGGAATTTGAAAATTCAATTTTGGATGGATTTTTATTTTTCTAACTAGGATTATAAAATTCGCTATGTTTGTATAAAATTTGGTTTTAAAGTGTTGTTTCTTTAACGTGTTGTGTTTTTTTTTCCCAGCCCCTTCACAGAGTCAGTTGGAGCAACCCTAGATCCAATCCAGCAGAAGAAAACGCCAAACCAGACCACCTAAGAATCCATGGGAAATATGTAAAGCTGTTTTGTTATTTTACATTTTAGGCTCATTTTTTGTTGGGACATAATTTGTATTCTGCCTCTTATTTTCTAATAAAGTTAAGGTTTTTTAGTGCATGTTGTGTGATATGGTTCTCTCTTGGAGATTCTCTCAGAAATTAATCTGCATAAATATTGATTATTATTGGAGGGATTTTGGTAACAAAAGGAGGAATTGTTGAATATATTTGAACAGTTTTATTAGTAGTGATTCCAGCCCCAAAAAAACATTTTCAAAATTCGGCATTATTGGATAGGAATCAATATTAAAATAATGGTGCATAAATTTTGAATTTTAAAAATGAGCTTTTTTAAACAATTGGGGACTGATGTTAAAAAATACTATCTCAAATATCATACCCTCCAAAGACACCATGGCTTGAACTGTGGCTTGGCTGATAATGTATTTCTTTATTTGAAAATATTGAAGGACTGAATTCCAAAATGGTATCCTATAAGCAATAGCAACCCCAAACTAGGATACTGATGTAAAAATGGTGGCTGCATAGTCTCTATTGTTTAGTAGAGACAATTAATTGTCTCAAAAATCAATTTAAGAGACAAATCAAACTCAGTATCTTCTGTGAGTTTTTTTAGTAGTGAATACCCAAAACAAGGAGAGAGTGGTTCCCAATTTTAGAGAAAAAACTCAATTTGTATCAATAATTGAAGACATGTCTTAGAGCATCTCCAACAATATGTAGTAGCAAATCAAACTCTTCAAATTGAAGTTTGTTGACCTATGTGGCAAATTTAAAAAGCTATGTTTGCTACTTTAATATATTTTGTGTCCCAGCAAACTTTTCAATTCAATTAATGCAATGTTATGGAAAAGAATGAAAAACATGAAATCATGTGAAAAATGTCTATATATTTATTGTTTGAAAAGAAAAAATGCATTTTTTTTCACATTTTTAAAGTAGGTTTTATTTTACCAAAGTAAAATTAAATGTTTTGAAGAGCCAAGATCAACTTTACCAGTCCTAAAAAGAGAGAAAGAGGTTGCAGCTTTGATGACTGAGGTTGACAAGGATGTTGGAGAGGGTTTTGATGATGCGGGCTCAGCTATTTTAGCATTCCAAAATTGCTGAAGAGGCTGTTGGAGATGCTTTTAAACTAACAACTATTTATACATATAAGGGAGATATCCTAACATTGAACCAAATCCCCTTATTTATTATAGATAACTATATCATGAACCGAGATAATAATCCCAAAATGCATGAACAAGTATTTATTCGAAATGCATGAACTTTCTTCATGTATGTAGTCTATCCCAATAGCCCAAGTATACCAAGGGGCTAATATCTGTCTGCGTCAAAGCATCTAGATGATTGTTATTGTCATGAATCATGATAGTCACATATGTTTCTTAGAAGGGTAAACCATTTTTTTGGTGCAAGTGTTTTTACTCAAAATTACTTTTAATTTTTAGTAGAGTCCGCATGAGCATAAAAATGATACGAGTCATATTTGCGTGGTTTGCAGTTTAAAAGTAGGGCTATGAGATAGAAGCTTGTGTATAAGTTTGTCAATCGTCATCTTCCCCAAGCTCTCAAATCTACAATCACTCTCACTCTCATTCTTGGACATTTTAGACTCATAGTCTGCTCGGTAGGTTTTGACTAAATACTCGCCAAGAAACAGAAATTAATGACACAACGTACTCGAACAAGATCCAATACGACTTGATTGCCACCTCTATTCATCCTAGATTATAAACTTTGTCATAAAAAATTGAAGGGCCTCCCAATTGGCGTTCAAAAAGGATAAGTTCATGAATTCGACGGTTGAATCTTGATGGTAAAAAGTACTTATATAGATAGATCATCGATCGTGATCCAAAACCCCCCATATAAATAAATAAAAAGGGTCGAACTAGGGCTAGAAGTGGAAGATATTGACTTCTGGATTGGACTAAACTTGAGAAGAACACACCGCATGTGATGACACTGACTGGAATTTTGTAATGACTTTGTGTTAGTAACGTTGAATTGGTGAGAGTGATTTGAAATAGATATCGATGGCTAAAATCAAATTTCACAAAAGTAGAAGTAAATAAAAGGTACGCACGACTATAAATTTACATATAAAAGATGTGCGTGAATTAATTTGTAACATCAATTTGGATTCATATGTGCAAAACGTTTCTCTCACTCGGAGTTCCAGCTAACGCAAACCACAAGTTTCTGAGAAAAAATGCATATAACAAGTGAGACTCCAAACTCATTAAAGATGGAAGGTCGATCCATTACTCAGAATTTGAAAAAGTCTAGCTACTTCCTCCACAAAGCCGATTTCTGGTTATAGTTAGGGTTTTTAATTTATCACACAGAAATGAATGGAGATCAGAGATAGGCGTTGGTTCAGGGTTTTACTTCTTTTACTGCAGCCAGCTTGCAGAGCTGCCACCTGCTTTTGTGGGCCCCACTTGACCCAAAGATGGTTAAATTTTGGCTTCTTAGAAATCCCCAACACCAGTTCTATGCTTCCCGCACTTCAACACACTCCATCTCTTCTCCCATAGCTTTCACTTAAAAAAATTCTCAAGTTCGAATCTCCCTTCAGGTTTGCCTGTTTGGCCTTCCAGCCTCGCCTAAATCATCGTTTGACAACCGAGAAACAGCACCTGAGCCTCCCCGATCTCCCATGGACCTCAACATGAACCTCAACATCTCAAGTACCTTTCAGTATTGGCTTGTGAAGCACCCAGCCATCCTGCACTTCTCATGGAGCCCTAGTGAAACCCCGGCCTCAAGCCCACTCTTCGTATCCCTAACTATCATCTCCTACCTCCCCCTCACTTTCCTCCTCTCCCACCTCCCTCTCCCACTTATCAAACCCCGGCGCCTCAAACCCATCACCGCCATCCACAACCTCAACCTCCTCCTCCTCTCCCTCATCATGGCCGTTGGTTCCCTGGTCACCATCTTCTCCTACCCCCCTTACCCTTTCTGGATCATCTGCTTCCCACCCAAAACCCCACCAACGGGGCCTTTATTCTTCTGGGCCTACATCTTCTACCTCTCCAAAATCTACGAGTTTGTGGACACCTTCCTGATCATCCTTAGTGGGTCCTTTCATCGGCTGACATTCCTCCACGTGTACCATCACACAATGGTGCTGGTCATGTGCTACATTTGGCTCTACACCTCACAGTCTCTGTTCCCGGCGGTGATCGCAGCAAACGCCACGGTGCACGTGGTGATGTACACCTACTACTTGCTGGCTGCGCTTGGGGTGAGGCCTAAGTGGAAGAGGAGGGTCACCGAGTTTCAAATATTTCAGTTCATGTCAAGCTTCGTGGGGTTGGTTTGGATGCTCATCTATCACTTTAACGGGTCGGGTTGCTGCGGGATCTGGGGATGGTGCTTCAATATTTTTTTCTATGTTTCTCTTTTGGCTTTGTTCATGGACTTCCATGCTAAGAGTTATGGCAGCTCCAAGAAGGATTTGTGATCATGATGATGATGATGTGGACAAATCTACGGCTAATTATGATCCTTATTTGATCTGAACGATCAAGAGATCAAGTAGTTCCCTTGAATGTGTTTTGTGTTATTGATATATATAATATATGCATGTTACGTTGCATCAATTAATTGCTTTCTATTAATTTTCATATTTGAGTAATTTTTTTAGTTAATAGTGTTGAATCACAGATCTTCTTCTCTGTTATAAGTATATATTTTAGTATTATTGTTGGCATATATATAGTTGCTATATTTTTTTTTGTCAGCATCATCTTTTCCCTAGGTAGTAGTATATAGAATTAAGAAAGTGGTTAATACCCCATTTGTTTTTTTTTTTCCGGACATATATAGTTAGGAAGGGGAGGTGAGTTTTCTCACACACTGCAAAAGTGCTTAGGTGTCATATGAATTCAAACATTAGATCGCTGATCCTTTTGAACGGGACAAGACCCCGTTGGCTTGTGTTTTAATTTGTTGGGTTTATATGAGGGTTTGGAAGTCATAATTAATATGCAAAGAGACACGCATCCCATATCAGCCTATTAAATGCTCCATACTCAAGACCAATGTCCTTTTTTCAGTCTATTATTTACTGTTGTAAGATCGAATTTTCCTTTCAAAAACTTGTGTTATGATTTCGGCCCCTCCACACATACAATTCTAGTTCCGTACATATATGATATCAATTATTGTTCATACGATGGGTCCTTATGGCCAGCTATATAATTAAACACAGGTGATGTGATTGGTGCTTTATATTTCTTTAACCAAAACTGAAAGTTAACTTTGAAATCTTTGCTGGTATGCAACTATTAGGAATATATATAGTTTTGTGTGGTTTGAAGTGCCTTTGATATTATTTAGGACGTCCTCTCAGAGGATTAATTACAATAATCAGAATCAAGTTCATTTCCTCATATCGTCAAAGTTCTATTTTTAAAAAATTAAGGGTTAGATACATGATATAATCTATGAATTTGTAATAGCTAAACTTAAAGATATATAGATGATATAATCTATGAATTTATAATAGTACTATAAGGATAAACATTAAGTAATGCCAAGACATGTAGAGAGGAGCCAAATTCTTTGACTCTTTTTTTTCTTTTTTCTTTTTTGAGTTTAATATATAATTGCTAACTATATACGGTACACCATCACCACTCATTATTCCATGAGTTTATTGGTGGGCAGGGGTCAGAATGTAGGCAATGTCCATTCCCCTCACAAACTCAGAACTTCTTCAAGCTCCATCCCGAATGGATATATAAGGGCGGCTTTGAGGATGTGCAGGTGGTGTTACCACACAAGATCCCCAATTTTTGAGGATTGCACTGAGCATCAGTGAACCCATGAGCAATCATAGACAACATTACCACTAGACCATGCATGTCTTAATGAAAGATAATTTTGCTTATTATACTTATATTGTTTATGACATCAATTCATGGTACTTTTAGTTTTAGTATTTTCATGTTAGATAATGTGAGTGTCCAATTTAAGTTTCGCACGTCACTCTCAAAATCTCAAAATCGCACTGTTGTCCAATGAATACTTTATGATATTCTCGTCCCTTAAGAAAATTAATGCTTCAAAATATATAGGTAGAATCCGACAGAAAATATAAATTAAGAAAAAGATAGAAGTGCGACCAAATTAATTTTGTAGGGTAAATAATTGTATTTTGTAGGGAAAGTTGAAAAAGACTCAAGCGTCAAAGGTTCAGATCCTCTCACCAAGTGCAAAAACAATGCATCTCTGTGAGTGATTGCATATGTTCATTCGTTTTTCATCTCTTTCAAGCGATTTTTAGCGTAGCAATTTACTTTTGTAATTAAGCAAAAGATATAAATAAAATTAAAATTATATGCGTCGCTACAGTTTTACCTCTAGCTAAGTCATAAGTTCATAATTGTCACTTATTACCTCTAGCTACCACCATCACTCCAACCTTCTCTCTTATTCATTTGATTTCTGAAGACTGTTCTCTGAAACTAGTACCATATATATACCAGAGAGAGCTTCCATTCTTCCATTGAGGGATCCTTCAAATAAGCTTATTTGAGGGACACCCTTGTCGGGTCTACTCCGCATTGTATTTCACTAACCCAAACCATCTATGTTTTAGATAATCATTCAAAGATCATCTCTACAAAAAAATCACTTGAATTTGATTTCATTTGACCACTCAATTGAGTTATTGAAAGTTTAGTACTTTTTGGTAGGACACAATTGTATGTTGAAACGGTTTCCGATTTGTCTAATTTTTTGCAAGGATTATCTATGAATGTAGACTTCAAAAACATATGGTTTGGATCGTTGAAAAAAAATAAAAATTGTAGGGGACCCTAAAGAGTATCCCTCAAATATTATTTGAGGAATTCATCTATAAAAGGAGACTATATATATATATTAATTTAGACAAATTTTTATTTGAATGATGTAATGATAGTACTTGCACTATTTACTATTTAGTAGGGTTGGGTAAAGAGATGAAAAACATAAATAGAGTACTTGCACTATATTTGGTAGGGATATGGTTATATATATTAGCTACACATATTTGTAATGCATGGCAGAAAAGCACATGCATGAATCAGAGATCCAGGTTTTTTTTTTTGTTTTGTTTTTTTTGTTGTTTTTTTGGGTATCTATCAGACTGCAGTGCAGAGGGGTATCGACTTAAATGTTGTTAGGTGGTGATCGAGGAGTAGGCAGCTGCAGCTAATGGCTTTGATGATTTTACGGCCTCATCATCATCAGTCCTAACTATATCCCGTTTCTTGTTTGTTTTCCTGCTAACTCCTTTAATAAGCCATGGAGCTCCATTTACAAGCTTGTTTTTAGGCATGGTCCTCAGTTTTCAAGTCTAGTGGGGGGTAAAAATCGTAAAGATATATAGCATCTATTAGTTCCACAATAAGATACTCACAGCAATATTTTTGTTTACAAAAACGATTGTTAGAAGTTGGCTTTAGTTGACGAATCCCTCAAATAAAAAACACTCTTATTGGGTCACTTTGTATTCTATTTCAAAGATCCAAACTATCTATCTTTTAGACATTTCTTCAAAGATATTTATGCAAAAAATTACTTGAATCCGAAACCATTTTATCACTCAATTAATATTGATTGTCATTTTAGTGTTTTACCGTGTTGGTCTATTTTTTGGTTAGAATTAGATGTCTTAATTTGTCTAATCTTTTACAAAGATAACCTATAAATGAAACTTGGAAAATGGACGATCCGGATCATTGAATTAAAATACGTAATTTGTTTAACTTTCAATAAAATACTATCTTTGCTTTATAAAAAAAAAAAAAAAAAAAAAAAGGGGCCTCCGTTTGAACGGGCCTAGTAATTTCGAATTGTTGCAACTTTGTTGGAAGTTGAAAGAGGACAATTTCATCATTAATCATACGTTATCTTTGAAATTAAACTAAAAATCTTGACCAATAAAGTTAAGTAGCGTTATTGATTTAGCCGCTCTCTCTTTGTGTGAGTCCCAAAGAAAATCTCCCCACAACGAGGAGGAGGAAAAAACAGCATTGCCCCTCCTCCCCTCCTCTCTCCTCGCCTTTTCTTTTTTGGTTAGTGAATAAGTCTACAATGCTGTTTTGAATAAGAAGCCCATTTAAATTTATACCGTCTTTGGCTTTGGCAGAAGTTGTTGCAAATCACCAAATTATTCTTTTTCAAAGTAGTTATTTTTCGTTTATTTGTTCGCAATGTATAATTCAAATGTTTGACATCAATTCAGTAGAGGCCACCCACCACCCTCTAATAAATTTGACAAAGACACACAATGCCTAGGGATAGGGGTTGGTTACGGTCGTTTTGTATCGTTTGTGATATATAGCAAGAAAATTAATAAGTCACAAATTTTCCAGTGCCTAATTATGTAGAAATTTTTTGATCCAACTCCCATATCGTGGCACGGTGTTATTAATTTACTTATATTATAATATGTATTTATTTATTAATAATATACTTAGATCCACCAAATATCAAATATGTCATTTACCCATATTATAACACGTGAAAGAAAGAAAAGAGAATAGGACAATACCACATATGATGCAGCGTGACAATAGAGTGGCTAAAACTTTAGCCTAAAACATGGAATCCACTAGGAAGATATAAGGAAACCTCAAGATTTATTTAATAATTAGAATAAATAAATAAATAAATAACCCTAGTCATAGATTAAATACTGCTAGAAACCTTAGGAATAAACAAAGAATTAAAATAGAAAAATAACAAAGTTTCCAAAAACTGTAAAAAAAACTTTAAACTTGGATTTTGGGCTGCTAAACGATCTCGATGCCCAAAAGCCCATACATCATGGCAAAGCGATGAGTTTTATTCATGACGCCATTCTCTTCGAATCGATGGGTCATGTGCCTGATTTTGAGCTCGGAGCCCAAATTTGCAGTTTGCCCAATTTAACCTTGCACCCACGTCTCTCTAACTCCTCGTAGATTGCTTCCGTCATCTGTTCTACATCAACATGTAAGAGTAAAACAGAAGTTTGGTGAGAATATTTAAATCTTGGTCTGAGTTCACACTAACCATCAATAAACCAGTCCAAATAATTGTACACACATCCTCTGTACCATAAATACATGTTCCCTGTACGTATTATCATATAAACACATGAAGGTACATACCTTGTGAAGTCATTGATGAACTCAGCAAAAACCAAAAGCAAAAGTTCTAAGATAGTGTTTACCCCCATCTTCAAGCCTCAGAATTAGGGTAAAGATCAAGTTAAATTGTGAGTGTGCCACTATGAGTAGTGTAAAACTCTAATAGACTTGAATGAATAAAAATAACTTATGGGCCAAGAAGATTTCTAATCAAACCTTATGGGGAATTGGTTTAATATAGGTTTTTTTTTTTATGCCTAAAAAAAAAATGAGGATTTTATTATTTCTCTAATACAAAGGTACGAAGTAAAAGAAACAGAAAGCAATTAAACAATGCGTCTGATCGATCTGATAATATCTTAATTGGGACTGGAACCACCTTGAGTTGACTCAGAACCACCGGAATAGCCTTAAAAGGTCTGGAAGATGTTGTAACAGTCGGAAAAGAGCGTCAGAACCTATACTACAAATGACAACAACACCTTCAAAATAATAAGGATCAATTGGAAATTGATACCAGTGTCGGAACTTGCAGAGCTATTATCAAACCTCGAAGGTTCAAGCCACGGAAGGCTCAAAGTCTAAGAAATCAAGCAAAGGATTCTAATGTACGCCTTGAATTCCTTGGAAAACCTATATGTCTTGAGAAAGGAATTAGGGTTTCTGTAGGGTTGTTTGTTGAAAAAGATTGTCGGCCCTTACTCAAATGAACAATTTCCCTTTTATACAGTTATACTGTGTCTGTCCTTTGTCGGCCCAGGCCAACTGATTGACCCAATCCTTTTATTAATTGCCATGGATTAAAATCCTTATACTCACAAGTCATAGTTATAGTTAATTGGATATTGTGATTGTTATTTTGTGTAAACTCATCTTTGTCTGGTTGTTATGCCAGTCACAAATTTGCACGATTTAAGAGCATTATTCTAAAGCCTATTCCATGTCAGATGATAATAGAGCTTTTGTTCTGATCCCCAACATGCTACAATCGACTTTTGGGTGGCCTTTCTTTGTATATAATCATAATTTAACAAGAAAGAAAAAAAATTATGCACATGTATATATATATATATATTTTTGGCTTAATTATGGTAATTCTAGTAAACTAAAATAACAAAAGAACATGAATTATAAAACCTTATAAAAAAAAATCATCAAGTGGTTGAGAACAAAAAAGTTATCAAACTAGAAGAACTAAACATTTTCTTGAAGGGAGTATAACGATTGTTGCGTCTACCCAAGTGCAAGTAGTCACACGTCGTAATATTCTTGGAAGTCCAAGTATCGTATCCTCAAGGAGCAGGTAAGCAAATGTCTGCACACAAATAAATAATTAAAAGTACCAAAATAAAAGTGACAAGCAAAATGGAAAAGTAATTTGATTTGAGTGTTGTATAGATTGGGTTTAAAAATGAATTATCAATAATGGAAATGCTAAGGCATCAAGGTTCAATTCTTTAAGCAAAATATGTTTCATGCTCTTTAATCCAAATTATAACTCGATTAAAATTATCATTGAGACATTTTAACCAAAAGATAAAGAAATTAATACTAATTTAATATTTCAATGTTATCTTTTATTAATGATTGTTCAGAAAATGGAATTGCTTAATATCTAATTTTTTAATTTAAAGGCATGCTAAGTCAGTTCTTAACAATGAGAAAAATATAATTGAACTCATGAAAATATAGTAGCACTTAACATCAATCAAAATAAAAGGATATGAAAATATTGAACAACCAAAAATAGAAGAATTTAGCAATTCATACTGTATATTGGATTAAAGAACAATTCACAAACTTACTCAAAGGACATTCCCTTTTAGCCTTAGCTAGAGTTCTAGCAACTCATTATGAAGGAAAACATAGCTAAATTTTTAATGAAATGGATAAAGAAATCTGTCGTAGTGGTCCGTTTGCCAAATAAGTTGATGGGTGATTTATAGTACTCAATGAGGTGAGTGGAAAGTTGTGGGTAATGAAGGGTTTAAGTGAGGGATTAATCGGATTAAACTTGTGTTGATGGTGGAGAGTCGGGGATAGGGTGAGAACCTTCCGTTGGTACGCCCTTTAAGTGTTGGTTCTTCCATATTTAGATAGAAAAGAAATAGCGGTGAGGTAATGGGCGTTAAATGGCTATAAATGACATGAAATAGGCTCTTTAGCTTCAATGGTTTTGTCTTCTTCTCCCTCTTTACTTCTCTTTATAATCACAATAATCCCACAATCAATTCTTCAATAAAATCCACCAGCAATTCTCTTCACACTTGGCTTGAACTATATATATATATATATCTTCATCTTTTGGCTTTCCAACTTCCTACAAAAGATCATAAGTTCACCAAATTAATATAGAAAATTCATAAATCCAATTGGTGAGAATGAAATGTAACAGCAAGTGAAATTATCTTTATTAAGCAAAATTTATATCATAAAGTATCCAAAATAATAATAAAAAGATGTAATTTGAGACTCTCATCAACGACCTCCACATGATGTTGTGGTTTTTGCTCAACAATGTGCATGAATTTATTACGGTAAATGACACTATTCAAAGTAACTAATCGCGTGCGGGATGTTGTTAGATGGGCAACACCACCATCAAGCCACCTCGAACTCAACTTTGATGGAGCATTTGATCCTACTTCGGGTAGAGGGGTTGTTGGGGTTGTTGCTAGAGACACGGATGGAGGTTTTGTGGCTGCAACGGCGAAATTAGTTGGGGAAGTGATGTCGACTGAACATGCATGCGACTCGTGAAGGGGTGGCACTTGCTCTCTCACTTGGGATTGCATCTCCCATCTTTGAAGGAGACTCTATTGTGGTGGTTGCAGCCGTAAAGCGAGCAGGACAAGATTATTCAAACGTTGGTACCATTGTTGAAGATGTAAAGCATCTATAGAAACATATTTATGGCTCTCTTTTTCAATTTACTCATAAGGAAGCAAATGGTGTTGCACACTGACTTGCTCGATTTGGTCTGCATAATGTGGACAACTTTATTTGGTTTGAGGTGCCCCTTGATCTTATTCAGGACGCCCTATTATGTGATTCTTTGAGTGAGGGTCAGGCATTTTGTACCCTGTTGTAATTCTTCTTTTTATCAATAAAGCTTCCCTTGTTCAATCGAGGTTCTCTCCAAAAAAAACATTTTCTTGAAAGAAGTGTTTGGATTAATTGGATGTTTGTTGTTTTAAAACAAAAATAAGAATTTTATAATGTTTAAATTGAAAATATGGGCCTCATATTGTTAAAGATTTAAAGTCATTGTTATTTGGGCCTTTAAACACTCAAATCCATTTAATATGAGCATGAACAATATATATAATATTATATATATTATTTACCATATATATAATGTTGGGGGCCAGGCCCAGGGCCCTTACAACAATATGTTAATAAAGTGAGATTTTTTTGGATATAGCCAGAGAAATTTTGATCCTAAGACTTGCTCCAAGAACGGAAAAGAAATTAAAAACATAAGGGAAAAACAAGGGACTTGTAACTGAAATGATTAAAAGTATTTATTCTTACACTTGAGGTCCTAGGTTCAATTCCCCGGTCCCTAGTATCGCTTGTATAAAAAATATATATATAAAAAAGCCAGTATATAGCATTGAGTTGAGGCAAGGTATCATATGACAAAATAAGCAAAGCCTTTTGGGCTGTCGCTAGTTGGGGATTCACTCTCTTCCACACGTATTCTTTCCTTAGTTCACTTCAAATACACTTGTAATGTCAGTGTCAGTGAGCTAACCAGAGAGAGAGGAACTAAAAGATGGCTCACCATCCCAATGCCCTTCTTGGATCCTTGTTCATCACCATTCTAATAGCATGCGGTAATATATATATATATATCCCTTCTCTTGCCTAGTTTAGTTTAGTTTATTCTTTTGAGTTATTGGTCTTGCTGTATGTTTCAAAATTCACATTTAACTTTGCACTTGGCATCATAATAGCATGCAGCATTCTTATGCTCACATTTCAAAAACAAAATTACAAAAAGGGAAAAATCTTGAGTTGTAATTTTTCAAATGGCAAATTATTGAACCTTTAGGCTTACAAAACTTGTTGCCCATTTTGTTGAATTGTGGGTTAGGGGCTAAGTTATATGCAAGTGCAAAGACCTTCACCATAGTAAATGAGTGCAAGGAGACAATATGGCCTGGCATAACACACAGTGAAAACTTCACTGGCAGTGGTTTTACATTGAAGCAAGGCCAGTCTACAGTTTATACCGCTCCAGCTGACTGGAACGGTCGAATATGGGCTCGAACTGGCTGCAGTTTTGACCAGAATGGCAATGGCAAATGCCAAACAGGTAGCTGCGGCACTACCATCAACTGTACAGGCCCCGGCAGCCCACCTGCCTCAATTGCCGAATTTACACTCGGCCAGGATATTGATTACTATGATGTTAGCCTGGTGGATGGCTTTAATTTGCCTGTAATTGTTAAACCTACTAACAATGGTAAAGGCAATTGCAGCACTGCTGGTTGTGATAGAGACTTGAGGCAGAGCTGCCCGTCAGAGCTCGCGGCTAAGGCCGAAGGAAAAGTCATTGCTTGCCGGAGTGCGTGCAACGTGTTCAACACCGACGAATACTGCTGTAGAGGGACATTTGGAAACCCTCAGACGTGTCTACCTACTAATTATTCAAGGAGTTTTAAACAAGCTTGCCCTGCAGCATATAGTTTTGCATATGATGACCGTACCAGTATTATAACATGCTCTGGTGCAGACTTCATTGTCACCTTCTGCGCATCAAGGTAAGATCACATTTAAACCAAATGACACTGACCTTAATGCACTTATCGAATTCTAATCCGGATGAAAATCTAACGGTTAATAGGATTTATCAGATGCATTAACAATTCTAATTAACTTGTCAAAATTGGGCTTAGGAACCAAACGGTGTGCTCTTATCATGATAAGCAGCATGTTTGCAATGGATCAAAGGAATTAAAAGCACTCTCTCAAAGATGGTGGTCATTGATACTCGCATTCCCCTTGATTCTCAGTTTCCAGTCTATGTTTTAGCAGATTCTTCACAGTTCGTACTTTGTAGCTGTATTTATTTCATATTATTTACTCCGGTATTTTCTATTGAGCTTACTTCACAAGTGCAAGGAGAATACAAAGTTTTCCAAGTGCATGTATTTTACCTTGTTATATTGCTACAACAAATTGGTATACAGAACTTGCCAACACAAAGAATATAAACAAATAGACCAAAATCCGACTGGATTTCACAGTTTCCATGGCAAACCCTAAACAACCAAATGTTCCAAAATTGAAACTAGCAACCACTAACCATGATTGGGTCCTGAAGCCTGAAAATAAACTATGCTCATGCAAATGCCCTTCCCACTAATTTACACTCCATCCCAATAACATGTACTACTAGTATGATTTTGTATTATCATGAACTTAACTTGCAGCCTACATAAATCTAATTTACCAAAAGCTTTGCTTACTATGACATTTGGAACCATATTATGTGAATAAAAACAGTTGCAGCCATGCCAAACATTTCAAGCATTATCTACCCCAAAAAAAAAAGGGTTTCCAATTTAAATGGCAAAACTATGCAAATTGCTTGTGATTTTAGTGGAACCATTCAATTGTATGGAAAACACAGATTCAGTCGTGCTGTCAGGGTGCAAAGGTACACACATGTTGCTACATAGGTCGCTCTTTCTCCACCCATGAACGTATTCGTACATGCGCATATGCATGTATGCATGAGAAGGCAAATGCATGATGCACCTCTCTAAACATAACCACATTGCAACTTACCAAACTGGAAACGGAAACAGTGCAAAACAAAATACCTTATAGAGGTTTCACCTGGATGAGATCCAAACAAGCTAGAATCTGACAGTTCTCTTAACCTGTATGTCCAGCAAACAACCTAAATCCTTCCCAGTGCATTTCAATGCACTGTCTCTCTTGTTTCTTTCTTGAATAGGTTTTGGATTGATTTAGTCAGAGCTATTAAGTAATCATATCAAACAATCCAGTTGAATGAAGAAGGATTACATTGACACTAAATGTGTTTCCAATTTCTGTACAAATAATGGAATCAGAACATTTTGGTCATGTTTTCTTTCTCCGTAACTGAGGTATTACTAAATTTCAACCTATGAAACTGCCACATATATGCCAATAAGAATCTATACAGAACTGCTGCTGCTATGACTTCTTTCTGACTTTGATGCATCCTTGTTTTCCTTTCTAACAGGTTCTGGTATGGGCTCATCACTTCCAAAAGGTAATACAACTACAGGGGCAGCAGGCACTGTGTCCCAGCGCTCCTTCAAGAAATTCATAAACCTTGTAACCATTTCCCTCCTGAACTCAAGCTCCCGTGTGAACAGATCGAAGATAAGAAAGGCAAGAACATATTTGAATGGGAATATGAGGAGAATCGTTGCAGAAGATAACAACACCAGTGCAACCTCAGTGGTTATCTGATAAATGTTTAAATCAATATGATTGTTACTGATAAGCCTGAAGTAAAACTGAAAACTGAACTAATTTCATTCTTTTATGTCCCAAACACAATTTATACATGCATCAGTCTGACTCTGTGCAGGAGGGGTTGAGAAAACCTCACTTCTAATCTGTTTTCTTCAACTTCGATCACATTTATTGACATGGCTGATTATTTAGGCTGTAAAATCATCATTTACACTAGACTTGAGGTTTCTAGTCTTGGATTGGTTACTCGCTTCGAGTTTAGGTTCTAAGTATCAAGCACAAAATTTGAAACTTAAAACCTAAAGTCGAAGCTCTTAACGACCCTATACCCTAAATACTGTGTCAATAAATGGGACCGAATTCAAAGAAAATTGAGTAGAAGACAGGAAATCCTGCACGGAGAACTTCTGATATGTTTGTATATATGTTGGGCGATAATATGCTTTGTTGAAAGGTCACACTAAACAACATCAAAGCAGCGGAGAGAGATTTAAGGAAACTGGTTACGAGTTTCATAATTGCACGAATTTAAATAATCAATACATACCTGAGGCTGGCCAGAAAGGATAATTGTATGTATTTTCAGAAGAGTGACATTCAGATTCTGTAAATAACTTTCCACATCACGCATGCCGTCTTTTACGGCTATAATTTTTTCAATGGTATTTGAAGGAGGCTGATCACGGATAGTAACTTTTCCAAATGATCGTCCAAGGCGGCCTTGCTCCTTTAGCCCCTTCAGTGTCAGCATTACAGCTGCCAAAATCATCAATGCTATTGGGAATGCATATGAGAGTAAATTCCTGGCAAAGCATCTCAAGAAATTAGCTCAAAGTAAAATCAGAGTGTAGAAATTCAGAGGTACCACTTAGAATGCATACAAAACAAGTTGATTTGAGTACTCTAATAGTCGGTTAGGGTGAAGGAAGAAAGATAAGAGGTAGACTTTAAAAATAGGTTTAGGGTTTTATCAAAGACTGCCCCTTCACCCATACAATGAATTTATATGATAAGAGATACTACACGATACCAAGTCAAAATTAGGGTATCAAACTCAAAACTAATTGGCAATAGATGAAGGGGTTCAAAACTTATATCTGAGAGGCAAGCTTTAGAATGAGTTCTGTGGAATTTTCCAAACTCGAGACGTCTCCTGAAGTGTGGCCACACTAAGCACAACACATGGATCAATTATATTTGGTGACATGGAGCAAGTGTAGCTAAATTGGGCAACACATTAAAGAATTGCCCAGCTCAAAAGAGAGAGAAAGCTCTTAGATAGAGAAGACTTCCCTATATATTTTACAAGAAAGCTCTTAGCAAGAAACTCCACACAATATAGTAATATAAATTGTAATAACCATTACCCAAAAACATGCATAGTTGCATAAAGAAAAGGAAAGGGAGACAAAAACATTGCCTTCAAATTTCCTAGGATGAGGAATATATGAACAAATTGGTAGTGATCACCACGCCTCTAGAAACAGGTTCAGTTCTCAAACATATTTAGAAATAAGCAATTGATCAGTTACATCAGTTGTCAGAGGGGAGATATGAACTTGGGCCCCATTTAGAAGAAAACACTTAAAAAGTTCAAACTGCAATCAAAACCAAATGAAAAGCTCTGAATATGCAAGACCCAAGGATATATTTAAGGAAAATTTTACAAAACCATAGTCATCAGACATCCCTTTGCCAAAGGTCATGTAAAGAATATATATCAGTCTCTTTTAAAAGCAAGAAAACCATATCCATTTCTCAACTTTTTAGGGGAAACATATACCGTAACTGAAGGAATTAGAACTTCCAACCAAAAACCAATTGGCAAAGAAATTATATATTGCAATGCAAGACTTCACAATCCTGATGTGGGATATACTCTCAAGTTCTCAACACACCCCTAACGTGTGGCATGAGTTGAGCCATACACTTAGACAACTTATATTGGGTATGTGGGAACACGTGTGTCTGATGGGCCTAAACGTGGATTGCATGCTCTGATAGAGCATCTAACACAAAGCCCATTGGTAATGAGTTGAAAGGCCTAGGACATTATATATTACAACACAAGGATTTACATTCCCAGAGAGGGATCTCTTCTCAACAATAACTCTTCCAGAATTGGACCTACCTGAAAATGACTGTATACGCAAATGCAAGAAAAGAAACAGTCAAGTGCGGCACCTCCCAGCACCTAAGTTTTTCAAAATTTGTTGCAGTTATTGTCAGAGGAAGCAGAAGTTCCTGCACAAAAGAAAAGGCAGCACCAACATTGTTTATTTAATTGTTCACTATGCTTCAAACATAAGAATAAGAAACCAAAGGAAATGTCAAGTGAAAGCAAAGCCATTGAACATAAAATATGTTACAGCTTCACAATGTCAAATATCTAATCATGAAGTGAACATAGTTTCCAGCATATTGTTTCCTGTAACTAATGAAACCATGTTAATGAGTTACAATGCAACAATCTTTTGTGAGAGAGGACGCCCTCAAAACAATTAGTTGAACAAAATCACATTATAATTCAAACTGTGACATATATTGATGAGATAATTGGTAAACATGGTAGTCTTTGAGTAACAACAAAAGTTCTGTATTCATGTAAGTACATGGGAGAGATATATGTCACAAATGCTTATTATTTTGGGTTTCATTTATGAACCCAATTCTTGGAGTTCAATTAATATTGTATACTGGAGTTAATGTCAAGTTAGTCGTTTATCGTACTGAGTTAATAGTTTGACTGAAAATGATATTGAATAATATGAGCTCAAAAATGGAAAACTCCAGTTTTCCAAACAAAAAATGGAAAATGAAAGGCACGTTAACTGCGCTCATGAATATTCTCAGATATATTCATCTTCTAATTAATCCCATCAAGGTCCTTACAATCAAGCTTATCTGATAGAGAGAATTACTACTCATTAATCCAAAAAAATGCAGCGAACGGCTAATTCAAGTGGAAACAAATAACTAGCACTAAGAGCTTTCATATCAACTTTAGTAATTGTGAATGAGGAGAACACTACTTCAATTCGTATTTGGTTACTCAAAGAAGATAAATCAGTTTACAATGGGTGAGAAAAATGTTTGGAACAAACTAGAAGATATTCAAAAGACAAGATCATTGCAAATTATATAAAAACTACAGTGACTACATTGAAACACCAGCACAAAAACAAAATACTAAGGCGAAAAAGCGAACCCCGAAAGACTTCAGAACAAGAGGAGTCTGACGATTCAAATGCAAAACAAAACTGCTTCAAGCAAGATGTCCAAACAAAATGATGTTCATTATGCAGTGAATAAAGTAATGGCAAGTAAAGGGTGCAGCCATGGAGATGAATTTAAGAACCAACCTTGAATAGATCTATGTTACTGGGTATTCCCTTAAGGGTTGCAGCATCAATTGTGGCTTGAGTGGTTTCAGCTGCCTGCCATTTTTGTTTGCATGTTCTTGTTGCCCTTTCTACAAGAGCCGCATCAGCAACGACAAGATTTTTACTTAATACTAGCCCCTGTCTTGTTGAAGTACTCTTCCAAAAGCTAGCAGAAGCACTTGAAGCCCAGCATGGAGATCTCTTCCACTTTTGCAAGTAAACACTGCCATC